CTACAGGGTAAATAATGAAATTAAGTCAAAAATAAATAAGCTTTTTGAAACCAATGAGAACAAAGACACAAATTACCATACTCTCTGGGACACAGCTAAACTAGTGCTTAGAGGGAAATTTAGAGCACTAAATGCCCACAGGAGAAAGCAAGAAAGATCTAAAACTGACACCCTAAATCACAATTAAAAGTACTAAGGAAGCAAGAGCAAACAAATACAAAACCTAGCAGAAGACAAGAAATAATTAAGATTATAGCAGAACCGAAGGAGACAGAGATTAAAAAAAAAAAAAAAACCCTTCAGGAAAAATCAATGAAACCAGAAGCTGGCTTTTTGAAAACACTAACAAAATAGATATACCACAAGCCAGACTAACAAGGAAGAAAAGAGAGAAGAATCAAATAGGCAATAAAAAATAATAAAGGAAAGATCATTACTCATCTCAAGGAAATACAAACTATCATCAGAGAATACTATAAACACCTCCATGCAAATAAACTACAAAATCTAGAAGAAATAGATAAGTTCCTGGATACATACACCCTCCAAAGACTAAACCAGGAAGAAGTCAAATCCCTGAATACACTCATAACAAGTTGTGAAACTGAGGCAGTAATTAATAGCCTACCAACCAAAAAAAAAAGTCCAGGACCAGAGGGATTCACAGCCCAATTCTACCAAATGTACAAATAGGAGCTGGTACCATTCCTTCTGAAACTATTCCAAACAGTAGGAAAAGAGGGACTCCTTTCTAACTTATTTCATGAGGCCAGCATCATCCTGATACCAAAACCTGGCAGAGACACAACAAAAGAAAAGAACATTTCAGGCCAATATCTCTGATGAACATCGATGAGAAAATTCTCAATAAAATACTGGCAAACCAAATCCAGCAGCACATCAAAAAGCTTATCTACCATAATCAAGTCAACTTCATCCATGGGATGCCAGGCAGGTTCAACATATATAAATGGATAAATGTAATCCATCACATAAACAGAACCAATGACAAAAACCACATGAATATCTCAACAGATGCAGAAAAGGTCTTCAATAAAATTCAACACCCCTTCATGCTAAAAACACTCAATAACCTAGGTACTGTTGGAACATATATCAAAATAATAAGATCTATTTATAACAAACCCACATCCAATATCATACTAAATGGACAAAAACTGGAAGCATTCCCTTGAAAATTGGCACAAGACAGGGATGCCCTCTCTCACCACTCCTATTCAACATAGTATTGGAAGTTCTGGCCAGGGCAATCAGGCAAGAGAAAGGAAGAATGGGCATTCAAATAAGAAGATAGGAAGTCAAATTGTCTCTGTTTGCAGATGACATTATTGTATATTTAGAAAACCCCATCATCTCAGCCCAAAATCTCCTTAAGCTGATAAGCACCTTCAGAAAAGTCTCAGAATACAAAATCAACATGCAAAAATCACAAGCATTCCTTTACACCAACAGACAAACAGAGAGCCAAATCATGAATGAACTCCCATTCACAATTGCTAAAACAAGAATAAAAAACCTAGAAATATAACTTACAAAGGATGCGATAAGCCTCCTCAAGGAAAACTACAAACCACTGCTCAAGGAAATAAGAAAGGGCACAAACAGATGGAAAAACATATATTGCTCATGGATTGGAAGAATCAATATCATGAAAATGGCCATAGTGTCCAAAGTAATTATTATAGATTCAATGCTATTCCTATTAAGCTACCATTGACTTTCTTCACAAAAGTAGAAAAACTACTTTAAATTTCATATGGAACCAAAAAAGAGCCTGCATAGTCAAGCTAATACTAAGCAAAAAGAATAAAGCTAGAGGCATCACACTACTACAAAGCTACAGTACCCAAAACAGCATGGTACTGGTACCAAAACAGATATACAGACAAATGAAACAGAACAGAGGCCTCAAAATAACACCACACATCTACAACCATCTGATCTTTGACAAACCTGAAAAAAACAAGCAATGGGGAAAGGATTCCCTAATTAATAAATGGTGTGGGGAAAACTGGCTAGCCATAGGCAGAAAACTGAAACTGGACCTCTTCCTTATACCTTATACAAAAATTAACTCAAGATGGATTAAAGATTTAAACATAAGACCTAAAACTATATATACCCTAAAAGAAAACCTAGGCAATACCATTCAGGACATAAGCATGGGCAAAGACTTCATGACCAAAACACAAAAAGCAATGGTGACAAAAAACGAAATAGACAAATAGGATCTAATTATACTAAAGAGCTTCTGCACAGCAAGATAAACTATCATCAGAGTGAACAGGCAACTTACAGAATGGGAGAAAATTTTTGCAATATATCCTTCTGACAAAGGGCGAATATCCAAAATCTATAAGAAACTTAAACAAACATACAAGAAAAAAAAAAACAACCCCATCAAAAAGTGGGTAAAGAATATGAACAAACAATTCTCAAAAGAAGACATTTATGTAGCCAACAAACATATGAAAAAAAGTTCATCACTAGTCATTGGAGAAATGCAAATTAAAACTACAATGAGATACCAACTCATACCAGTTAGAATGGTGATCATTAAAAAGTCAGGAAAGTCCAGGTGCAGTGGCTCATGTCTGTAATCCCAGCACTTTGGGAGACCGAGGCAGGTTGATCATGAGGTCAGGAGTTTGAGACCAGACTGACCAAGGTGGTGAAACCTCATCTCTACTTAAAATACAAAAATTAACCAGACATGGTGGCACAGGCCTGTCATCCCAACTACTCAGGAGGCTGAGGGAGGAGAATCACTTGAACCCGAGGCAGACTTTCCAGTGATCTAAGATTGTGCTACTGCACTCCAGCCTGGGGGACAGAGTGAGACTCAGTCTCAGTCTCAAACAAACAAACAAAAAGAAGTCAGGAAACAACAGATGCTGGAGAGGATATGGAGAAATAGGAACACTTTTACACTGTTGGTGGGAGTGTAAATTAGTTAAATCATTGTGGAAGACAGTATGGCCATTCTTCAAGGATCTAGAAATAGAAATACCATTTGACTCAGCAATCCCATTACTGGGTCTATGCCTAAAGGATTATAATCATTCTGCTATAAAGACGTATGTTAATTGTGGCACTGTTCACAATAGCAAAGACTTGGAACCAACCCAAATGCCCATCAATGATAGACTGGATGAAGAAAATGTGGTACATATATACCATGGAATACTATCCAGCCATAAAAAAGGCTGAGTTCATGCCCTTTGCAGGGATATGGATGAAGCTGGAAACATCATGCTCAGCAAACTAACAGAGGAACAGAAAATCAAACACCACATGTTCTCACTCATAAGTGGAAGCTGAACAATGAGAACATATTGACACACACAGGGAGGGGAACATCACACACCAGGGCCTGTCAGAGGATGGAGGCTAAGGGGAGGGATAGCATTAGGAGAAATATCTCATGTAGATGATGTGTTGACTGGTGCAGAAAACCACCATGGCACATGTATATCTATGTAGCAAACCTGCATGTTCTGCACATGTATCCCAGAACTTAGAGTATAAAAAATAATTTTTAAAAAATGAGTTTCATTTTGAATTCTCTTCAAGGAACCACAATTCAGCCTCATTGTCCTACTCACATAAAATAATAAATAGTTTAAATTTTCACCATTACAATATTGCTTTCTCATCCACAGCTGACTATAGACATTCCTGTAAGATGGAGGCTTCCAACCTGTGGTCTATAGAGAAGCCACAGATGGGTATGTGCAATATGCCTTGTCCAAAGACTGAGCACACAATTTGTCTCTTACTCCTCTGAACTATTTTTTAATGAATGGAAGTGCTGCTATAATTGAGAATATAAAAAATTAGCATAAAAACATTACAATATTAATAGTAGCTTGTCATCATGCATTTTCTCAATCAATGAAGATAAAATAATTGACAACTTGTGGTATCAGGGTATACTTGAGATTTTGAGGTGGAATGCTAGACAAAGTTGAGAATCTTTTTCAATGTTTTATGTAATTAAATTCTTATCTTCCTTTAACTTCATTATGGCCTCCCACTATGTGTCCCACCATGGTCTCCAAAATGCCAAATAATTTGAATGCTTGCAATTGAAAAATATCTGGGTAACTTCCTTTCAATGTCCTCTATTTAGCATATCTTAGATAAAATCTTCATTTCCCCTATGCCTATTTCATAACCTTCCCTATACCCCAACCACAGTGGCCTCAGTTGTATGTTTAAGCATTGCATTCTGACCAGGGCTAGGTGGACAGTGGGTATGAAAAGCCAGCAATACTCTCCCTACTTCCTGGGTACATTGTTGTATGTGTTGATATACATGGAGACCTCTGTTTTATTATCTGAAGAGGAAGAGGAGGAAGAGGAAATGGCTACATGAGAATACACAATTAAAAGTGGCTTAGGCTGGGGTACAGAGGTTCACACCTATAATACCAGAATTTTGGAAGGCCGAGGCTTGTAGATTGCTTGAACCCAGGAGTTCAAGTCCAGCCTGGGCAACGTGGAAAAACCCAGTCTCAACAATAATACAAAAATTAGCTGGTGCAGCAGCACATGCCTATCATCCAGCTATTCGGGAGGCTAAACAGGGAGGATCACTTGAGCACAGGAGGTCAAGGCTGCAGTGAGCTGTGATCATGCCACTGTACTCCAGCCTGGATGGAGTACAGACAAAAACCCATTTTATTTTATATAAAATAATATATAAGTGGCTTAAACAATAGGACTTCTTAATTCAACTAACAAGAAGTCCAGAGGTGGGGAAATTCAAGCAATGATTGAATGTAGCTCAATTACATTATCAAGGACACATGTATGTTTGTTTGTCAGTCTTCCTGGTCTACCAATCTCAGCCAGTTGGCTGGCTTTTGATGTCAAGCTTGTTCTCTCGTGGTTCAAGAAGACAACATCACAGCCACATACAAAGGCAAAAAAAAAGAGTAATTTTTTTCTCACCCATCTCTTTTTATCTTTCCCAGAAGATCCCCTCAGGGACCACTGATGAAGTTCACATGGCCAAACTCAAACTGCAAGGAGGAAGGAAAAACAAGCACTGGAATTTTCACCTTTATAGTGAGAAGTGGGTACTTCCAGCAGAGTTAGGAGACAATAGAAGACAAGAAATGGAAAAAAGGTTGGCGAGTGTTTCCTTTAGATAGAGGCTGTAAGTTCAACCTGAAGGAACACATATCTAGGCTTTGGGAGCCAAATCCACTCTTGTTCTAAGCCTACTTTAGCTCTAATTTCTCACCCCATCCAATCTTTTACTTCCTTTTTAATCCAGTTATTCCCAAAGATCTTAATGGAGTGAGTTTTCTTTGTTTCCAAGGCAATTTAAATTTACTGTAGAAAAATTTCAAATACTAGTAAGCAAATACTAGAAAAAGTAAGTTACACCACTCTGAGACAAATACTGTTAATAGCTTGGTATATATTTCTTTAAACACTGCTATTGTAACATACAACAATGTTTAAAGAAATATATATTATATATCCATTATACAAACATATAACATGCATATATGTATTATGTATGTATATATAGCATACATATGTGATATATATTATACATTTTTGTATACATGTTACATGTATACATTTGTGTATATATGTACACACATATAAATGTATATGTATATATAACATACAAATGTATATAACACATATATAACATATAACAATGTTTAAAGAAATAAATAGTAATATACAATGTTTAAAATACATTTTTGCAAGGTATTTTTCTTATAGTGTTTTATTCCATTACTATACATATAAAAAGGCAAGAATGCAAGATAAATTACTGTGCTTAACTTTAAAAGTGGAACTATTTTGGAAAGCAAATTGAAGTCTTTAGAAAGTAGCCAATGTTGACTGATAGAAAAAGATAATAAGAAAAAGAAATAGTCATAAAAGAGTTTGAAATAGTGTCAATTTCAAGTTAATTCATCAAGTTTATATATTAGCAAATGTGAAGTAACATGGTATTTGGCCAAAGGATAATATTTGAGAAAATTAATTTCCAGTCTAGCATTTGAAATAAGAACATCATTAGATTTCCAGGCATATCCAGGTTTGCTTTGACTATTACAGGCATAAGTCCTTCCTTTTAACTCTGTTATGAACAATTCTGTAGCATTAGAATGATTTAGGGTGTTTAATGTTTGTTCCTGTTTACAAAAAGATCCACAGAAACAGCACTTTTATCTTTCAGATTTTCCACTGAGGTTTTTCAAGGAACTTTTTCAAATTCATCCTAAAAGTCATTTTTGAATAACAAATATAATAGCTTTAAATTAATCAGCATCATAGAAACATTTTTCTTGCACTTCTAGAAAACATGTGCCCAAAGCTCACATCTTCTGAATATGATGACAGTTTGATGGTGTGATTTTGACCAGCCATCTTGACTTTGCTTCTTTGATGCAGCTGTTTGGCCATGGGAATATTTCGATGCTGTTAATATTCCAGCCCTGTCATTTATTAGATGTTTTCTGGTGACATACAGATTAACCTTTATAAAGGCTCCACTTTCTCACCAATAGAATGGATATAATAGGTACCTCAGAAGCTTGTGGTGAGAATTAAATGAAATATTTTTAAGTGCTTATGTCTAGGACATATCAGTGGCTCAGTGATAGCAATGACAAAATCAGCAACTGGGGTATTGATGATGTTGATGGATGAAGATGGAGCAAGCACCTGTACAACACAGGACTAAAAAGATGCTCTCCGTTTATCTCAGGGTCTGGTACAAGCATCCCTAAACATAAGCGTGTTCAATAAGCTTAATTATCAACTTTCAGAATTAAGTTGGGAAAATCAAAGTTACAGGAACTTCAGCGTCAAAAGAAGTTAGAGGCAAGAGTACTATCATGTGTTTGGTAGTGGGACTTACAGATCAAAGGTGGCACTACAGGCTACATGTACTTTTCACATCTATTTCTTTCCTCAATTTACTGACTTAATTGATTTTTAACATATTGATGATTCATTTTTTGCCAGGTATTTTCTAGATGTTCTTACTTTTGTCTTGGTATTACAAAAGTTCTAGAAGCTATTAATGAAGAGTCAGGGTATGCCCAGCTATAAAAGAAATGTTTATGATATAGACTTAGGCATATAGAAAGGAAAAATCAATGGTGAAGGAGAGAGTGCAGTCTAGAAAATGCTATGAACCAATCCACTAAGACAAAGGTTAAATGAGGAACCACTACTGTTCCCAGAGAATCCTCCTGAAAACTTCAACCACGAGTGTTCACATAGTACTAGGAACATAGGTAGCTTCTTAAAAAGATCCTTCAGCAAAATCTGGCAATTTCCACTTGTCCATGATAAAACACTATTACAGCATTTCCTAGTGCAAAAGAAATTGGAGCAGAAAGATTCTGATGTTGATTTCTGCTGGGAAACTTTTCCACAGCTGTTCCTCTCATATCCATCAAACACTATCACCATTAAAAAGAACAGAAAAGAAAAACAGTCGCATTGTCCTACAAATTAATTAGATATAGTTTTTGCTGAAAGTGTAAAAGGAAGATAATTCTCTTAATAAGTAGTCCTCTGTTAATGTCAAATAAAGTTGTATGACTTAAGAAGGTACAACTAACTACTGATTATCTTCCACTCCATGAAGGGAAAGGTGGAAACAGATGATATTATAATTTGAATCAATTTATTGAATTTAAAATTACATTTCTACAGAATCTATGACGGTCACAGTAACCAGAGATCTGCAATGAAGTTGCCTTGCATGTGAGTTCTAGTATGTGTACATGTTTATGCATAGATGTATATAGGCACAAAATGTTTAGCCAGCAGCTGATGGAAAAACATTTGTCCAGTGTTTTAAAATACACAATTCTATCTTTGATGACAACAGCTTGATGTACATTCGACACTCTTGTCTAAAAACATTGGTCTGGCAGGCTTAGTGACAAGAATATGGCTGAAAATTCTATTTTGGCTCAGTATAAGCATTTAAGCATATGTCCATTTATCTCCTCCTGTACCAGTAACATATCCTACTCAACAGATGGGGCAGGTTGCTGATAACAAAGAATGATCATGGCTCACATTGTCTGCCCCACAAACACCTCTTTGAAAAAATTTTAGCACTCACCTTTCAAAGCACTTTGATGTTTTGCATTAGGTTTAAGGCTAGTTTGGTATTGAAAAAGACTGTAAATTCTTAATTCCTCAACAAAGGAGAATATAAGAAAGGGAATTTTTACCCTTTATGTTCTTGCCTAAAATCATCAGGCTAGCTAATATTAAATTTGAGTTAGAACACTTACAAATTTCAGTCAGAGAATTTATATGGTGACTTAAAAGTTCCTCAAATCAAAGTTGAGTGGATGAGCTTTTCAATTACTAAATGTGACAAGTAAATGAGCGCATGCACACACACACACACACACAGTCACTCAACATCTACCATAGACTCATCGATTTTTCCAGTATAGGTTCACTGTTGAGAAAAAGAAAGAGAAATAAAAGAAAGGAGTTTGCACATGAAAATTTAAGCCTCTATAGTATGTAAAATTCCTGAAAAATAAACAAAACAGATTTTAGGTTTCTATAAATTTACAAATTGATTAACAGACTTTATAAATCAATATCACTTCATATTTCTGCATTGATTCATATCATCTTTTCAGAAATATTTTATCTGGTTTCTGATTGGGTTTCAATTTTCCAAAGCTCTTATTGCATTAACTTTTATTTTATTTGTGACTATTTCACATAACCTGTATTTCAAAGCCATTGTAGTACAGTGGTTAAGACAGATTTGTGTTAGAATCCTGGTTCTGTTGCATACTCTGTTTGCATTACAAAAATAATCTAACCACTCATCAGTAAAGGGAGTATTGTAATATCCACCTCACCAGACTCTCTTAGGATAAAGTGAGCTCTATACGCAAGGTGCTTAGTTAGTACAGTGCCTTGTCCACAGTAACATTCAAAAAAAAAGTCAATACCTGCTAAACTTCAGATTTCAAACCTGGCTACAAATTAGAACTTGGGTAGCTTTTAAAATACTGATAGTGAGGGCCCCATCCCATTCCAATGAAATCAGAATCTCTTTTCAATGTTCTCTTATTATTTATTATAGTAATATTTTAATGTGTAATCAGAGTTAAAACCCACTTAAGCATTTTGTGGGCAAGGATTGTATTCATTTTGTTCACCATTGCATATCTATGACCTAGCACAGTACCTGGTACAGAAAAGATACTCAATATATATCTTGAATGAATTAATTTAAAAGGTCTGTCTATTTAATATATTTCAAGAGAAATTAACAACAAATATCAGTACATGAAATGCTTATAAATCCAAATAAAAAAAGAAAAGAAAAACAATTTGGTATCCAAATGGAAAGCTGAGCACACCATAGCTTTCATATTTAACTTCCAGGCAATAGAAGCATATGCCTTTCCACCTATCATTGTATTATTTTGGGTAACATAAGAAGAGGATAATTTTGTTTAATCAGTAGAGCAACTAATAAGAGCTTTTACAACTAATGACAACCTTACACTAGAAGGATAGTCCTCCACCTTTTTATATTCACAGCACCCTTATAAATATAAGAATTTTTATCCACATATAAGAAGGGACTAAACACCTCAAAGCAACACCAAATAAGTCAGAAACAACTACAACATAACCATTACTATGACTGGAAAAATGCCTCACAAGATTTATAAAACTCATTCAGTTATCCAATCATTTCCTCAACTTGTAGTAGAGTATACTGTTTTAGAAGAATTTTGTTCTTAATTACCTCCCTATAAATTCATGAGACAAAATTCTCACATATTCAGTAAGCATTCAAAAGATTTTCAATGCCATTTTAGCTTACCATAACAGCAAATTATACTCAATTATACTCTACATGCACTCAACAACCCTCTGAGCTCAAAGTTATATCTGACTGACATCTTAAAGATGGTAAGTACACTCAGTTGTGGTAAAAGGTAACATTATTCACCGATTATATTAGCCAGCTGTTTGTATAATAATGCTATATAGCAATACTTCCCCAAACTCAGCAATTTACAATACAAGCATTTATACACATGCTTCTGGGATGGCAGGAAAGCTTCAGTTTGACTAATGTAGCCTGAGATCGGCTGAGCAGCTCTTCTTCCTGCATCAGGTCAGCCAGGGAATGCTCTAGACTATGGGTTGTAGGTCTGCTCTGATGTCACTTTAGGGCCCAGACAAAGGGAGCGTGTTCTTCATGTGGCAGATCACCAGAATGCAAGAGAAACAAATCTAATTGCAAAGCACATTTTAAGCATCTGCTCCTCTCAAAGCTGACTTCATCCACTGGCCAAAACAAGGCATATATCCCATCCCAAAAATCAAGGTGATGAAGGCAAAAAGATGTATGTTATCCATTAAGAAGATATGGCAAGTAAATGGATGCATAATTCTGTTCATGGGAAGTTAAGCACTCAGTTTCATACTGAGCAAAATAAAGTGGCATACAAGTTGAGAACTCCTGCCAGAGGACAGAGAATAAGGCCAGCAGCACTTATTATCATGCTTTGACTGAATAACTAGATGCCTTTCCAATTGCTCAAAATATCAAAATGGCTCTCTACCCACCAGAATTTACATTTTTACGATTAGAATCTCATGTTAGTTAAACAACCAAAATTAGAGCTCCAGGAGACTCCAATAAAATTTAGAATATTTCCTTAGAAGCAGAGTAAAATAATGAGTATCCTGAACCAGGCACACCTAGGTTTGAACCCCAGCTCCAACACTGACTAGCTGCATGATCCTAAGTTGCTTAAGTCTCTAAGGAGTTTTTGTTTGCTAGGTGGTTTTTTGTCATTTTATTTTATTTTATCTATGTCTATATATTGGAAATAGTACTGACCTCATGAAATGGTAGAGAGGATTAACTGAGCAAAAAAGGAAAGCATCTGTCAAACTATTGGTGCACGATTTCTTCATTCCCTTTCAGCCCTGAGAGCAGGGACCACTTATGAGACTGGCTGTTTAGTTTCCTAACAGAAGAGGAAAGGAACAAGAGATGGTGATGATACAGCCTAAATTTCTTGGCATAGTCTTCATCTCTTTAAGTGTGTTTATACCGTTGACACAATGTGTCTTTATTTTGTATTTAGAAAATATTGAGGGATCGATTCAAGATGGCGCAGTAAGAACAACTCAGGATTGCAGCTCTCAGTAAAGGCACAGAGGGTGAGTCAAAGCCGCATTTCCAGACTGATCTTTCTTGCCCACAGAACAGGGAAATTCCCAGGTGTAGGAGAGACACAGGATGCCAGCGCAGCTGTTTCAGCTGGTGGGGCCACTTTGGCCGGTGCCACAGCGCAGCAGCACTCTGCACACTCTGCACAAAACGTACTGGTCCGGGTGCCCTGTTAAACCAGCATTCTGAGATTTGGGAGGGCAGATTAACATACCCATTTGATTAAACGGGACTTGGACAGTGAGCCAGACCAGGAGATTTCTGGGAAGTGGCGTTTGAGCCACAGCAGTGGGTCACTGCACAGGAAATCACACAGATCCTGGTGCCCTATCAGCAGGCAACAGAAACACCTGGGAGAGAGTCAACTGTTCAACTTAAAAAAAAAAAAAGCAATCTGAGGCAGGGAGCCAAGTGATCAGGCTCGGTGGGTTTCACCCCCACAGAAAGATACAAAATGGCAATTCAAAACACTCGGGGTTGAGAGTTTCACTGCAGGCACAGCTGAAACCAGAATGGTGCAGATCGGGGGAAAGAGGGGCTTCCACCATTACCAAGGCAATCGGCCTAGACTGAGGTACACTCCCATTGCTGACACAGCCTGCCGTTGCCAAGGCAACCCACCACAGCACAGAGACTTCACAGCAGGGTGGAGCCCGTGGCAACAGGGCGGGGCCCACAAAAGCAGGGCAGAGCCCATGGCAACAGGGCAGAGCCCACAGCAACAGGGCTGACCCCACACCAGCAGGGCAGAGCCTCGGCAGGCAAATAGTGACTAGACTGCCTCCTATCTGGGCAGAACAGTGCAACGGATACTCATAAAGAAAGCCCTAACTCCCCAAGACACAGCATCTGAGGAAGAAAAGGGGTTTTATGAGTTCTGCTGCAGCAGACTTAAACGTATCAGCCTAACAGCCCTGAATGAAAACAGAGCTCACAGTTCAGCACTTGAACTCCTATAAAGTACAGACCGTATCCTCAAGCAGCTCTCTGACTCCTGTATATACAAAGAGTCACCTCAGAAAGGACTGATCAGACAGACCTTTGGTGGGGATAATTCTGAGACAAAGATAGCAAAAGAAGAAACTGGTAGCATCCTTCCCTGTTCTGCAGCTGCTACAGGTTTACCCCAAACAAGCAGGGCCTGGAGTGGATCTCAGCAGTCATACCACAGATGGCCTAGACTGTTAGAAGGAAACTAAGTAACAAAAATACTTCATCATCAACAATCTGGGCATCCACTCAGAGACCCAAACGAAAAGTCAGCAACTACTCAGACGACAGGTGGATAAATCCACAAAGATGGGAAGAAACCAGCGCAAAAAGGAGGAAAACACCCAAAACCAAAACACCTCACCTCCTACAAAGGACCAAAACTCGACACCAGCAAGGGAATAAAGCTGGACAGAGAATGAGTGTGACAAAATGACGGAATCAGACTTCAGAAGGTGGGTAATGAGAAACTTCCATGAGCTAAAAGAACATGTTCTAAATCAATGCAAAAAAACTAAGAACCTTGGAAATAGATTTGAAAAAAAATATGAGGAAATGACAACAAGAATGGACAACTTAGGAATATGAATGAATTGAAAGAGCTGAAAACCACAACACGAGAACTTCACGAAGCATGCACAAGTTTCAACAGCCGAACTAACCAAGCAGAAGAAAGAATATCAGAAGTCAAAGATCAACTCAATGAAATAAAATGAGAAGGCAAGATTAGAGAAAAAAGCTGAAAAAGAAATAAACAAAGTCTACAAGAAATATGGGATTATGTGAAGAGACCTAATCTATGTTTGATAGGTGTTCCAGAATGTGACGAAGAGAATGAATCCAAGCTGGAAAATACTCTTCAGGATATTATCCAGGAAAAGTTCCCCAACCTAGCAAGACAGGCCAATATTCAAGCCCAGGAAATACAGAGAACATAACAAAGATATTCTGCAAGAAGAGCAACCTCAAGGCGCATAATCGTCAGATTCACCAGAGTTTAAATGAAAAAGAAAATACTAAGGAAAGCCAGAGAGAAAGGTCCAGTCACCAACGAAGGGAAGCCCATTAGACTCACAGCAGATCTCTCAGCAGAAACCCTACAAGCCAGAAGAGAGTGGGGGCCAATATTCAACATCCTTAAAGAAAAGAACTTTCAACCCAGAATTTCATATCCAGCCAAACTGAGCTTCAGAAGTGAGGGAAAAATAAAATCCTTTGTGAACAAGCAAGTACTCAGAGATTTTGTCACCACCAGGCCTGCTTTACAAGAGCTCCTGAAAGAGGCACTACACATAGAAAGGAACAGCCAGTACCAGCCATTCCAAAAACACACCAAATGCTAAAGAGCATCAACAAAATGAAGAATTTGGAACTAACGGGCAAAACAGCCAGCTAGCATCAAAATGGCAGTTTCAAATGCACACATAACAATATTAACCCTAAATGTAAATGGACTAAATGCACCAATCAAAAGACACAGACTGGCAAATTGGATAAAAAAACAAAACCCATTGGTGTGCTGTATCCAGGAAACCCATCTCACATGTAAGGATACACAAAGGCTCAAAATAAAGGGATGGAGGAAGATTTACCAAGCAAATGGAGAGCAAAATAAAGCAGGAGTTGCAATTTTCATCTCTGATAAAATAGACTTTAAAGCAACAAAGATCAAAAGAAACAAAGAAGGACATTACATAATGGTAAAAGGATCAATACAACAAGAAGAGCTAATGATCCTAAATATATATGGACTCAATATAGGAGCACCCAGATATATAAGGTAAGTTCTTAACGACTTACAAAGAGACTTAGATTCCCACACAATAATAGTGGGAGACTTTCACACTCCACTGTCAATATTAGACAGATCAACCAGACAGAAAATTAACAAGATATCCAGGGCTTGAACTCAGACCTGGAACAAGCAAACCTGATAGACATTTACAGAACTCTCCACCCCAAATCCACAGAATATACATTCTTCTCAGCACCACATCACACCTACTCTAAAATTGACCACATAATTTGAAGTAAAGCACTCCTCGGCAAATGCAAAACAACTGAAATCATAACAAACAGTCTCTCAGACCATAGTGCGATCAAGTTAGAACTCAGAATTCAGAAACTAACTCAACTGGCTCTTGAATGTTGACTGGATAAACAATGAAATGAAGGCAGAAATAAAGAAGTTCTTCGAAATCAATGAGAACGAAGACACAACATACCAGAATCTCTGGGACACATTTAAAGCAGTTTCTAGAGGAAAATATATAGCTATAAGTGCCCAAATGAGAAGAGTGGAGAGATCCAAAATTGACTCGCTAATGTCAAAATTGAAAGAGCTGGAGGAGCAAGATCAAAAAAACTTAAAACCTAGCAGAAGACAAGAAATAAATAAGATCCGAGCAAAACTGAAGGAGATAGAGACACGAAAAACCCTTCAAAAAATCAATAAATGCAAGAGCTGGTTTTTTTTAAAAGATCAACAAAATAGATAGACCACTAGCCAGATTGATAAAAAAAAAAAGAGAGAGAGAGAATAACCAAATACATGCAATCAAAAACGATAAAGGGGAAATCACCACAGATTGCACGGAAATTCAAACCATCATCAGAGAATATTACAAACAACTCTATGCATATAAACTAGTAAACCTGGAAGAAATGGATAAATTCCTAAAAACCTGTGTCCTCTCAAGCCTAAACCACGAGGAAGCTGAAACTATGAATAGACCAATAACAAGGTCTGAAGTCGAGGCAGCAATTAACAGCCTATCACACAAAAAAAGCCCAGGTCCAGATGGGTTCACAGCCGAATTCTACCAGACACACAAAGAGGAGCTGGTACCATTCCTTCTTAAACTATTCCAAATAATCCAAAAAGAGGGAATCCTTCCCAAATCATTTTGTGAGACCAATATCATCCTGATACCAAAATCCAGCAGAGACTCAACAAAAAAGAGAACTTCAGGCCAATATCCATGATGAACATAGATGCAAAAATCTTCCATAAAATACTTGCAAGCCAATTGCAACAGCACATCAAAAAACTTATCAATCATGATTAAGTAGGATTCATCCCGGAAATGCAAGGCTGGTTCAACATATGCAAGTCTATAAATGTAATTCACCACATAAACAGAACGAAAAACAAAAACCACATGATTATCTCAATTGACACAGAGAAGGCATTTGACAAAATTCAACAGCCCCTTATGCTAAAAACCCTCAATAAACTCGGTATCAATGGAACGTATCTCAAAGTAATAAAAGCTATTTATGACAAACCAACAGCCGATATCATACTGAATGGGCAAAAACTGGAAGCATTCCCTTTGAAATCTGGCACTAGACAAGGATGTCCTTTTTCACTACTCCTATTCAGTATAGTACTGGAAGTTCTAGCCAGAGCAATCAGGCAAGAAAAAGAAATAACGGGTATTCAAATAGGAAAGGTGGAAGCCAAATTGTCTCTATTTGCAGATGACATGATAGTATACCTAGAAGACCCCATCGCCTCAGCCCAAAAACTCCTGAAACTGATAAGCAACTTCAGCAAAGTCTCAGAATATAAAATCAATGTGCAAAAATCACAAGCATTCCTATACATCAATAACAGACTTAAAGAGAGCCAAATCAAGAACGAACTGCCATTCACAATTGCTACAAAAAGAATAAAATACCTAGGAATACAACTTACAAGGAACATAAGGGACATCTTCAAGAAAAACTACAAACCACTGCTCAACAAAATAAAAGAGGACACAAACGGATGGAGAAACATTCCATGTTCATGGTTAGGAAGAATCAATATCATGAAAATGGCTCTACTGCCCAAAGTAATTTATAGAATCAATGCTATCCGCATCAAGCTACCATTGACTTTCTTCACAGAACTGGAAAAAAACCACCATGAACTTCATATGAAACCAAAAGAGAGTCCACATAGCCAAGTCAATTCTAAGCAAAAAGAACACAGCAGGAGACATCATACTACTGG